CAGGGGGGCCGGGCTGCACACAAACCCCAGCCCCCCCGGTGCTCCCGACAGCCCCCCCCCACATGTCCTGCTGCCTGGCCCCAGGCCCGCCTCCCCAGCAACCTCCCCACTCGCCCGAACCCAGGCCCACCCCCAGGCCTACCCCTCCATATCCCCACGAGCATAGCCCGGCCCCAGGCCTACCCCTCCATATCCCCACGAGCATAGCCCGGCCCCAGGCCTACCCCTCCATATCCCCACGAGCATAGCCCGGCCCCAGGCCTACCCCTCCATATCCCCACGAGCATAGCCCGGCCCCAGGCCTACCCCTCCATATCCCCACGAGCATAGCCCGGCCCCAGGCCTACCCCTCCATATCCCCACGAGCATAGCCCGGCCCCAGGCCTACCCCTCCATATCCCCACGAGCATAGCCCGGCCCCAGGCCTACCCCTCCATATCCCCACGAGCATAGCCCGGCCCCAGGCCTACCCCTCCATATCCCCACGAGCATAGCCCGGCCCCAGGCCTACCCCTCCATATCCCCACGAGCATAGCCCGGCCCCAGGCCTACCCCTCCATATCCCCACGAGCATAGCCCGGCCCCAGGCCTACCCCTCCATATCCCCACGAGCATAGCCCGGCCCCAGGCCTACCCCTCCATATCCCCACGAGCATAGCCCGGCCCCAGGCCTACCCCTCCATATCCCCACGAGCATAGCCCGGCCCCAGGCCTACCCCTCCATATCCCCACGAGCATAGCCCGGCCCCAGGCCTACCCCTCCATATCCCCACGAGCATAGCCCGGCCCCAGGCCTACCCCTCCATATCCCCACGAGCATAGCCCGGCCCCAGGCCTACCCCTCCATATCCCCACGAGCATAGCCCGGCCCCAGGCCTACCCCTCCATATCCCCACGAGCATAGCCCGGCCCCAGGCCTACCCCTCCATATCCCCACGAGCATAGCCCGGCCCCAGGCCTACCCCTCCATATCCCCACGAGCATAGCCCGGCCCCAGACCTACCCCTGATACCCCCACGTGCATGAGCCCGGCCCCAG